TACGCCTGCGGAATGAACTTCTAAACGGGCAGCCTGCGCGGTAACCTAAACCAATAAAGTCGTTGCTTCTCTTTTTTTTTTTTTTTTTTTTTTGTAGTGTAGTTTAGAGGATGACCGGTGGAATTTTGAACTTTCTTTTCAAATGCTGCAAACAATTCGCCGTTTTTTTGTTTTTTTTTTTTAATGTGAAAGGCATTATTTGTTTTAGGGAGCGAGCTAACGTCATCAGTTTGAAGCGCGAAAACGGCCCCTAGTTTCCGCGATCACCTTCGGTTCCATTGGCTGGCGCGCGTCGACGGGGCTCCCATTGGCCGCTGCGCCGTGGCCTCCGAGATCCCAAAGCGCGCGCCCGCTAGTACACGGCAGACGACAAAGGGAGCGGACGAGCAGACGACACAGGGAGCGGACGAGCGGCTTGCCATGCTTTGGCATTCACAACTCATAAGAAATGCTTAGGTGTACCTCGAGCTTTTTTTATTATTATTATTACTGTGGCGAAGGTATTCAGCAGAACTCGTGCGCTAGGGCAACGAATCTACATCCTAATGGCTATGGCACAGCACTGCTGCACTGGCCTGCAGTCCTGTACTTCCGGCGACTTCGGGTGGTTGTTTTTGTTCTGTTACTTTGATTCGATAGAGCGGTCTCTTCTCGTCAACACAGTTGGCCGGGAAAGAACTTGGCGCCAACTCTCGGAATCCTTCTAAGCCGATCTCAACTCTTCGGCTCAATGCGCTCTAGCACGGCCTGACCTGTGACAAAAACGTAACCCTTCAACATAAAAAAATAAATAAATATATATATATATATATTGTTGTTGTTGTTGTTGTTGTTGTTGTTGTTGTTTTTTGCTTGCAACGTACGGGTGGTGATTGGGCAAAATTTACGTCTACAATACGATGAAATGAAAGCTCTGACTGGATAAACTGCTTTCCGCGGTGGCTTGTTGAAAAAAGCAAAACAATGAGCAGCATGTGCATAAAAGCGTGAGCTTCGGAGAACGGAACGAACGCCGATGTTGCGAAATAGTTGTCAACTCCTCGTCTATTCGACAGAAAACGCGATGCGAAGAGCACTTTTCACTCGACAGAATATTGTGCAAGCATCCCTGACAGGAGCAATACAATCGTATTGGCAGCTGACACAAAGTGACGCAAAGCGCCAAGTGACGCAAACTACATGAGAGTTGGGGCGTCTCTTCGTTTTAATGAAACACACTTTTACCAACCCCGAAAATCCTCTCAAACGTCCATGGAACATAGTAAAACAGCTGCAAACTGTTGCTTTACCGGGTGGTCATAGCTGGTCCACTATCGTGAGATGATCGAACTCGTAGAAGCTAGAAAATGATAATACTTTTCACGCCAATTTTTCTCAGTCAGTGTCAAACGTGAATGTCGCCTTGCAGTAATCCTCGCGCTCTCAAGCTCACAAGCGCTTTGTCGAACTATATTTTGTTACAATCCTGCCGTACATAACTGCCGCCGCCGTCATCAACAAACCCACGTGACGACGTGACGCCGTGGCCGTTCCGCACACTGAGACTTCAACAAGAGGCGTAGTTCTGAAGAGCTCTTCGATAAAGAGGCACGCCCTTGTATAAGGAACCACTCGATCTCGCCACGCGCGCTCTCTTTCCATCATTTGAACTCACGCGCTCTAAAAAAGCGCTCGAGAGTGAAAAAAAAAGAAGAAAAACACCATTCAAATAATTCATATGTTTAATGCATGGTATATACAACGCTGTCATAGCTACCGGCGCGAGCACGTGGCTTTGTCCGGCGTTTCAGCCGCGTACGCTCTCGCGCAAAGGTGACACGCTATAAGGGAGTTTTCGTAGACCACGCTGCCCCCTCCGCTAAGCGTTCCGCAACGAAGAAGTTGCTACTGCGCCTGCGCGCCGATAGCCTTGACTGTGGAGTTCCCGCTATCGTAGCGGGTTGCGGAGTGCCTTGCGGGACGGCGACAACGATCTACGAAAACTCCCTATTGATAAAGCCGCCGCTATCATAGCTTCCTCATACTCACAAAGCCTGGCAGTTCGACGACGGAGCCATAGAGTGCACGGTCGCAGATTTGGAGCGCGAGAATCTGGTAACAGAGAGCAGTTCTGGGGGAGCCTGGTATTCACCGCACAGCTTTTGCAGCGGCGAGGACCCGAAACGTGGTTTTCAAACCCGACGAGAAAAGATGCGGAAGTGCGGGGAACGCGAGGAGCACGAGCGGACATTCCATCGCTCGGGACAAGTGTGTTTCGGCTTCTCGCCGCCGCGGGGCGCCCGTTACGTGACTTTCCTCTCATCCGTTGTCTGCCTCTCTACCTTTTCACTTTCGGCGGCCGCGTCTCGTGCCGATCTACCAGGCTTTGTCAGTACAGAGGAGGCTATGATACTATGCGTCAAATGGAGACACTAAGTTCCAAAGACGTCACTTTTGTGCTCATTGCGAATAACCTTAGCGCGCCCACATTTGTATAAAGAAGCCTTTTTTTTTTCTCGCTTAATCAATACAAGGGGAGGAACGATCGCTGGACCGAACACCGTTCCGATGTTTGCAAATCCACAGCCCAGCGTATAGACCTTTTCACCCTCCGTGGCATGGGCGCTGCCATCTTGGAATCACGTGATGCGGCCGCCATTAGGTTGCTTCAACTCGTCGCTTCGCTCTCCCCTCCGCGCTACTCCGCGTCTTGGCGGATGCGTTGAATTTGTGTTTTTCGTCGCGTTTCGCGTTTCTTACCCCACTCTGTAAAGTGTCGCCTAATACTTAGATATTTACCGTGTAAATTGCATTACACGATTATGTGAACAACTTCCGCAGTTAATTTTGTAACACGTTTTGACTATTTTTACTGTCGGCGTGCCGGCTACGTGTGAAGAGGCTATGAGCACATGAATCAGCGTTAGCGCTCACGTACATTGAACACATATAGGACTCTAAATCAGCGCAAAGGTTCAAAGGTCAATAACTTAGGAGAACTCAGGTTTGCTTACTAATAGTGGCGGAACATTCGCAATAGGAAGCACGATGTAAGTATATAATGATCGCGCATTTGGGATCTCAAGTAAGGTGACAAAATGCTCAGTGTAAATAACCACGTGTTTCCTGAAGGCATCGTGTTTTGTATTTATAACAGAGCGAAAACAGTGACTTTTTTGATTATATAGGTGAAATCGTGGACAAGGTAGGGAACAAACTTTTAATTTTAATTTGTTGTTTTATGCAAGAAATAATGGTACGTCAACATCAGAGAATTTGTTTGTTGACAATATCCCACGAATGTATAACAGACACGATGTTCTTAATCGTGTCTGCTATATAAACATTCCCCTGATCGGTTTATTTATGAATTCCAAGAAACTATATACTGTGCGTAATTAGGGAAATGCCTACAGTATTTTAATTGTCGAACTATTTTGTTAAGATAACCAGTTCAATTCAATTAATTGATTTCAACGCAAAGGTTTTGACTTCCCGCGTAACAAACTGTCACAGACAGCTTGAGAGTGCCTGGGGTCCACAATATGTGACGCTGAAAAGACTCCGTCTGCATTAAAATCGTACGAATGCAGTGTTGTCGACGGCTATTATAGATTTACCTTTAGCAGCTGGCGACGCCAAAATCTACGAAGCGCATCGGTTCAAACCAGTAAAAAGCTTTCTACACAGGTTCATTGTGAGGCGCCTGGCACTCCACTTCACCCAAATTTAAAAAGAGATCACTTCTTTTGCGGCCTTTAATTCCATCTGGCAAATTTTACGGGAAAGTAATGTCAGGTATCATTTGAGGGGCCTGTCACTTATTTCATACCTTGAGGACGTCGTAAGCAAATCGACATATAAAAAATAATCTATTTCATCGGGCCAATACCATAAAATCTTGTTAATGAGTACTTTAGTTTAAAAAAATTTTTAGTCGGCCATAGGTTGATCTATTAAAATATTTCTCGAGAACTTAATTTATTTAAATAAAACAGGCCGAGAGAATAAGTTTGTTTTTAATATTATCTACTTCATTATAGGAGACTTCCAGTCTGTGAAGTTCAATAATTGGTGTACGAAACCCAAACTGTAAATTTGCCACTTCATATGTTTTTCGTGATTCGGCACATTTTTAATCATGTAGTGGACCTGATTCATCACTAAGCACTCATGCATTATAGTCTGCTACAATATAAGATGAGCAGTCAAATCTTTGACATGAGCTCGAGCCCTTCCATACCACTCGGAGCACGCGCAGCCAAAGCCCGACGCCTGACGGTAGGCAAGAATTGCGTGCTGGACGCGGAGCTTCTCCAGCTCTTTATTTATTTATTTATTCTAATAACTAGCGCCCGGGGTACGGCCGTGGGCCACGGTAATCATCTCTGTACACCAGAACAGTTGTTGCACCGCCGAACCTGGCCGAAATCGACGATTGGACGTAATCAGACGCATCTGGGGTTCATAAAAGCGCTCGCAATTTAGGCTCGAAACCAAAACGCGGTTCTCCAACTGACTCAGCACCATTGTGTCATTTGCTGTGTTGCACAAAAAAGAAATTTGTATCACAAAAGTAAGCAAAAATGGCATGAAACAGCAACACAATCGCGTGCGCGTTGGAACCGAAACCAACAAATTGAAGCAACCTCATGGCGGCGAGTGCACCAGCGCCCTCTACCCGACGGTCAGCCAACTACTGAAATGAAAAGGTCTATAATGTTAGCAGTTCAGCACTCGCACGTTTGTCGCTAAACACGGTTCATACGCTCGAATCCCGGAAACGGCACCGACCAGAGGCCCGTATTCTGATATGGTCTGAGATGAATCGCTCGAACAGGCGGGAGCTGTTCTTTCAAAAATCGTGGATTAAAAAGGTCGCTCCGAGGGGACGCTCTCCTCCGACACCGGCATAACGCGCGCCACACTTCCGCCTACTATGCATCTCGTGCGCGCGGCTCCACGCTCCGCTCGCCGCGCAAGCGCGACAGGCGCGACACGACGTCTACTGCGCACGCGCAGGGCGCGCTACTCTCGTGCGCAGCGTAGCGGAGCGTGACGTCTCCTGTCCGGTTCAGTCCCCCGCGGGGAGCAGCGGAGTGAGCGTCGTGCAGCTGACGGCGCTATCGACGGACGCGGGCCCGAAGCGGGGAGGAAGTCAAGATGGCGGCCGCTTCTGCGACTCCCGCGGCCCCGACGCCGTCGCGCAGGCGCTTCACCGTCGCCGAAGACATCATCCTTCTACAGGCAGTGGTGGCGAGGAACCCGCTGAGGAATGCCGATCATTGGAACGATGTGATGGACTCGTTGTGCGCCGCGTCGCAGCGGGATTTCAGCTTGCGCGGGACTCGAGAACGCTGCGATCTTCTCCTGGGCTACTATCACCAGAACGACGATGCCATCCTGCGCAAGTGAGTGCTTCCTAGCGTCTGTCGAGCGAATGGGTATGTCCTAGAATGGTGCTACCCAGCTACATTGTGGCGCCATCTTTTTTTTTTTTCTCTCTCTCTAAGCGCGCGTAAAAAAGTTTACCCGGTGTTTTCGTACCACGCGTTGTTCAGACTTGCGAATGAGTATGTCCTAGAATGGCGCTACCCAGCTACATTGTTGCGCCATCTTTTTTTCTTTTTTTTTTTTTTCTCTCCAAGCGCGCGTAAAAGAGTTTACCCGGCGTTTTCTTTTGCCGTCGAAGCTATACACCTTTCCAAAAAACACTCGACCCCAGCACCGTTTGTGAGCCCAGTCACTGAGTTTGAGGCTAGACTCTCACCCGCGTTCCTCCTAACCCTAACCGAGTGGACTGTGATTTCAATAGGCGCAGCCTGCGTAGGTGCAGTTTCAAACGCTGCTGGCGGCTAAATTCTCGTCTTTTTCCGCTATATTTTGTGTTTCATGGTACATGTATGTTCCCGAGGACATTGAGAAAGCATTGTGCAACATTAAAAAAAAAAAAAAAAAAGAAGTAAAAAAAAAAATCTAAGCTATTTTTGTTGGGTACTCGCGCGACAGAACGAATGCGACTAGAATGAATAGTTCTAGTTAATTGTTTTTTCCTTTCGATAAGTTTTGACGGCACCGCGGGATTCGCCGCATGTGAATCGACAAAGGGCTTTGCTGTCAAAAATAAATTGCAACAGAAGAGGGCCGAAAGGCATGCATTTTTCACGCTCACAAATAACGTGTTTACCGATGGACAGGACACGGACATACAATTGAGGAAGTGTTAACATTCGTACGTACCTCACGATGCAGCGTTATCCGAAACGAATTTATTTGAGAAAGATCTCAAATAACACAGTCACAGTCGACGACAGTCACATCTTGACGATTGGACGGAATCCGGGATGACTTCGTTTTGGGGCACGTCTTGGGGAGAGCTTCCTTTTTTCACAACCGCACCAAGGCAAAGAAACAAACGTCACTGACCCGTTTCTCACCCCAACCCGGACAACTGTTTTTGGAGATGGCTGTGGATTTTACGCGGATTATCTCTGGGAGGGGGGAGAACAATGTTCGCAAAATCGCGTCGAGGGTCGTTCGACGTCCTTCACGTCTTTCGTTTCCCGTGCATGTCGAGCAGAAAAGCTTGAATGGCAGGCACTTACCAGCCTTATTTCTCACAATGGAAGATAACACAAAAGGGTACACAGCACGCATAAAAAAAAATTAACTGGAAACTTTCAAGAGGGGCGAGAAAACGTCGAATGCAAAACCGCAAAAACGTAGGTAGAGAACCGCGCTGAGCGGGTCTTCACAGTCCCAGAGAGTGGCAGAAAATTTCTTGCTGATAGAGGGCGCGAGAGTCGCACCAACCGCATCAGCATCAGCAACATGGCGGCGACCTAGGAGCGGTTTTTGGAAAGTTGTCGCGCGAGGAACGCGTGGCTTCGCTTGTGTCTCCTCACTCCTTCGCCACATCGGGCAAATATGGCGGTCTAAAACAGGTCGTGTAGTGAGTGCCATGTGCCAGCTCAACGCTCGGGCTCCAGCAGACGAGCATTGGACTCGAAATGGCTTGCCCCGATTTTTATTCGCTACGTTTCAAGCCTGCGGCGATCTGTTGGCGTAGAGCTTTAAAGGCTTGGAACTTCAAGGAAGCGAAAGAGGGACTGCCTACTGTCCTTGTGCGGTGCTGATAAACGTTGGTAAACGCACACAATAGGGAGTTTTCGTAGACAGCGTTGTCCCCTCCGCTAAGCGTTCCGCAACGAAGAAGTTGCTACTGCGCCTGCGCGTCGAGAGCCTTGACTGTGGAGTTTCCGCTATCGTAGCGGGTTGCGGAGGGCCTTGCGGGACGGCGAAGACGATCTACGTAAACTCCCTAATGTCTGGTTTATGCGGTTGCGTTCAGAGCGACCAGGGCCGACTTGCTAAAAATAGCGTCTCAGCTGAGACTGGGTGACAGAAAGCAGTGCCAAAGCCAGCGCACGAGCATAGCGGGTCTCTAACCACGTCTGAAAACGGTCGCGCGCCCCAGCCTTTGCAGTGCTTCCTTTCACCCAGTCTCGGCTGAGACGCTATTCTAGCAAGCCGGCCCTGCGCACAACGCTGATGCGACAGTCAAGACAGCCAGCGGGACGATCGTTTTCTCGCGCAAACTGCTGACAACATGTAATCACGTAAGCCTCGTACAAGGGACGAGCAGAAATCAGCAAAGGGCCCGTTGCGTTCAGCTCAGTGTTTTCCCGCTAGGTGTCGTCCGCTTTGCTGGAGTCGCGCTTTGCTGAAGTTGAGAGGCTGAAAATACAGAATATTACAGTTGAGAGAGCTAGTAGATACTAGCTCTCTCAACTGTATGGATATGTGACGGTGCAGAATATCTCAGTGAGCATGAAAAGTATAGACCGACACGCGGAGCGGCTCTGTTTACCAACACGGCCGGAAGGCCGCGCATGCGCGGTAGCTATGTGGGCAAAAGCATCCCGGCTCTCCGTGTTTTCGCCATTGCGCTCTATGGCGTGCGCTCGTTGTTGACGTTGTAGGGACGCTTGTATCTTTATTTGTGCGTCGTATTTCCTCACAACGTATGTCTTATGCTATGCCCGACTATTTGAGCTCATTGCCCGAGCCTGAACGGTAGCGGTATCGAAACAAACAGTGCGTGGACGGCGTTGCCTACGAGGATCCGTACGCCGTAAACAAGGCCTAGGTGCTGGACTTCCGACGTAAAGTTGCTGCCACGGAAGTCGACGGCTCAGGTCGTCGTTTATTTAGTTTTCGCCAAGTCAGTTCACGGCCGACAAGGTGCAGGCCTACAAGTCTCTCGAGGCCTACGATTACATCGAGTCGGTTTCCGCACTGCCGGCGGGATCAGCAGACTGTGGGTCTGCGGAAGTGTGTGTATTCATTAATTGATTAAATATACAGAGCGTCTTCAAGTCAAGGTATAATATTTTTCATACCCTCGTGACCACAAGGCATTACAACCAGTAAAGGTTTGTCCGTTCTGCAGTCTTGGCGGTAACAGGTTGCAAGTAGCGGCGTTACCAGGAACTCGTTACTTCTTTCAGTAACGTAGTAACCTGCTCTTTACGTTTTTGACACAGTAACGGGCAACGTACTTATGTTACTATTTCAAGTAACGTAGTTACGTTACTCGTTACTACTTCCCAAGTCTTAAAGAAATTACACTTCAATTGTTTCCGTGTTTTAGGCGTCAAGCCATGTTTTCTTTGCGTTTTTTCTCGTAAGTATTTAGGTGAAACCGTAAAAAGAGATAAAGTATTTATGTTCAGCTTCTGCTTAATATATGACCTGTATCGTCAAAACCGTAAAATGTGTTAAATCATAATTTAAAAAAGTAACGCAGAAGTAACGTGCCTTACTTTTTATCGGTATCGGTAACGCGTTCTTTTTATTTTTAGGCAACGTAGCTCAGTAACGCGTACCTTTTATTTGCAAGTAACGAGTGACGTATTTCGTTACTTTTTTTCGGTAGCGCCTACAACTCTGCCGTTTTGTCGCCGATCCCCTTCTGTTCGGTAGCACGTGCGTAGCGAGCCTCCGACGAGCGCTCGGCCGGTGCGTTGAGCGCGAACACCGTGGGAACAAAATCCGGGTGATCTCGATCGGACAACGGTTTCCCTGCACATAAGCAAGCCTCGGGACGGAGATTGAAATGGAAACCGCACTTGCCTCCAAGAAAGTGTTTGCCGCACAAACGGTCGTTCGCGCGAGGCGACCATTCTTTTCGATCCACGGATATTATCCACCTTCTATGCCTTTCAGAGTCTGCCGGGAATTTGTGGAAACTCACTCCTCTGCTTTTCTTGTACCTTTCGGTGCAATTAACGGCAACACAGCTTCGCGACATGCTGAAATGGTATGACGCCCGTGCGAAACGTGCGCGCTTTTGCCCACACCCCCCGGCTCCGGCGCGATCGCAGCGCCGCCGCAGCTCCGTGACGTCAAGCCCGCGTGTCGGTGTATATAATAGGTAAGGGCAACAGAAATGCAGCTGTAATGAAAAATAGAGCACTTTGGAATTACAACAGGTATGAAGTGGTGAGAGAGATTTGGAAAGGGGTCATGGTCCCTGGTTTGACTTTTGGAAACGCAGTGCTATGCATGAAATCCGAAGTGCATGCAAGACTAGAAATAAAACAGCGCGGTTTAGGTAGGCTGGCTTTGGGGGCACATTGCAAAACGCCAAACTAGGGAGTACAAGGAGAAATGAGATGGGCGTCTTTTGAAAGCAGGGAAGTGGTGAGCAAGATAGAATTTCAGGATCGGTTGAGGCAAATGGATGGGGACCAATGGGCACTAAAGGTTTTCAGCATGAGGAGCATAGACACAAAGCGGAGACAGCGCACTAGGAAATTAAGAGGAAAGTTTTTAGGCTATAGTGGAGATACGGAAGCGCAGGTCTCAGTTAAGAAGAAAGTTAAGGCCACAGAAAGAGATCGGTGGCTAGACGGAATGCAGACAAAGACGGCTCTGGAAAGCTATAGATTAAACAAAACAGTTATTGCCAAAGAAAGCATTTATAACAATTCTAGGGGAAGCTGATTGCTGTTTGAGGCGAGGACGGGTGTTCTGCGTACCAGAACATACAGAGCGAGGTACCAGGAAATTGACACAGAGTGCGCTGCTTATGGAGAGGAGGACGAGACGGCTGAGCACTTGATACTCTACTGTAAAGGACTTCACCCTATGCCTACCGAAGACAACATGGATTTAATAAAGTCATTAGGTTTTAGATACAGTGAAGGGAGAGTGGATTTCAAGACTGTAGAGATTACCAAGCAAAGATTAAGTGAATGGTGGCAGAAAGCGAGGGAAAACTAGGTATTTTCTTATTAACTGATGGCGAGGGGGTTTTATAGCCCCACTTTCTTTGCAGTGCGGAGTGAATATAGATTTCACATTTAAATATTCTAAGCTTAAATGGTAAAACAAAATGGCTAGGTGG